GTGAAATTGCAGGGCCTCTTACTTTCCATTCTGACGAGTAATTTTAATTTGTTTCTATTTTCAGTTGACGTGGAGCATTCTCATGTTCGTTTTCTTGGAAATTTGGTTCTCAATCTTTGGGATTGTGGAGGGTAATTAGACCATTAAGTTTACCGTCATTTTACGATGTAGTTGTTGTGAATTGTAAAATATTTTGACCAATATTCTCATTTTTTTCAGTGTAGTAACTGAACTAATGAGAAATATTTTTGATTGTAATTAGTAGCTGGACAATTGGCTGATACAGGCAACTATTTTTTTGAAGTTGATTTGTTAATCTCTAATCACACTTTCTAATTAAGCAATAGACCGCATTTTCTATATGTTTACCAGCTTAATAACCCATGCAGGATGTTGGGAGAACATAGGAAAAGTTTGTAATTCACAAGCCAGAGGTGAGTGACTTACAAACTTTTTGGGTGTTCTCTGAACATCTCAAGTTGGTTATTACAAAAATAGATTGATAGAAGGTTGGGTCTATCTAGACTTAAGATGTTTCAATTTCCTATTGGTTTACTGTTACAATAAACAAGAGGTTTTTGACCAATCAGGGTGCTCCTAATATTTCAGTTATTTTGTAAACCTCTATGAGAAAGAATCTGAAAGATTAGAGAGATAAGATAACTCTGGCCTTCCATTAATTCCAGGGGGGGCTGATATATTGACTCTCTTCCAATCTTCATAAAAAATGGAGTGGTAGCAATTGTGTTATTTTCACTTCCCAGACAAGAGGCATTTATGGAGAATTATTTCACAAGTCAGAGGGACAACATTTTTAGAAATGTTGAAGTTCTAATTTATGTGTTTGATGTGGAAAGTCGTGAACTTGAGAAAGATATGCACTATTACCAGACTTGCCTAGAGGCCATTCTTCAGAATTCACCTGATGCCAAGATATTTTGCCTTATTCACAAAATGGATTTGGTACAAGAAGATCAGAGAGATGCAGTGAGTACATTTGCAGCCTAATAAGATAGCAATAGTGACATTGACTTCATAATTTAAGCTTTCACTCAGTCTTGAAAAAAAGTCACTCAACATATTCCTATGGGGCTAAATATGATCTCTTCTTTGTTGTACAATGAAGCCTTCACAATGTCACCAGATGGCAATTTTTTCTCTACTGCGAATCTGCAATCATGAAAACAGGTAATGAGATATGTGGGAGAGATCATAAATTTCAACAAGGAAGTAGTAGCTTTGATGAATTTGGACAGAAGGTACTAAAAATTTAGCTTTGCAAAATACAGGTTGGGCTGAGAAAATGTCTCCAAAAGACATGATTTTTTTTTCAGATTTTTAGAGAGCGGGAAGAAGACCTCAAAAGGCTCTCAAAGCCACTGGAATGTACATGTTTCCGTACATCAATTTGGGATGAAACTCTTTACAAGGCTTGGTCATCCATTGTCTATCAGCTGATACCAAATGTGACACAACTGGAACAGAATCTGGAGAACTTTGCTTCAATCATTGAGGCAGATGAAGTCCTTTTGTTTGAGAGGGCCACATTTCTGGTAGGTATTTAATTAAAGAAGAATGTGCCAACTGATTTTAGGAGGTGAAGGGTGAACACCTGGAAGCCTGATCCTGCTTTAGCATCCCCTGATATACCAAATACCTACATTGTAGTTTTTATTGAAATGGGCTGCTAATCTACAATAGTCTGTCAACATTGGCATTTTTTCAATTTTCCTGACAGTCCACTGATAGCTTTTTATACTACAGGCTTTATTAGATACTTTAATATTTTCTCACTGTAGAAAACAACACAAGGACCTAGCCAAGTCTTAACCCTTTAACTCCCAGATCAAATTTATAATTCTCCTTACTATCAACCATACAATTCTCATAATGTTAGTTCAGAGAACTTAGTATTGGATCAACTAATTATCCTCAAATTGATATTTTCCTTTATTCTCATCACTTATCTGGTTGATATTGTATTGATATTGTAAGGAGAAATTCTGTCTTGGTCACTCATGGGAGTTAAAGGGTTAAACAGTGGACTCTTGATCCAGAGTTGATCTTTCTAACCAATCAGCTATCAGATCTGTCAACTATTCAATAGCTTTAAACCCTTTCACTCCCATGGGTGACTGAGACAGAATTTCTCCTTACAATATCAATACAATATCAAGCAGACAAGTAATGAGAATAAATACTAACATAATGACCATTATATAGCTAATGAGATCTTAAGAATTAAAGGGTTATTTGTAAATTGTTAACGGTAGATTTAACTTAGTTTGAGTTTGTTGTTGTGACCCTCTTTGTAAACAACATTTGAATGACACTTAGTGTTCATTTTTCAGGTTATTTCTTATTGTCAACGCAAGTCCCATAAGGATGTACACAGATTTGAAAAAATTAGTAACATTATCAAACAGTTCAAGTTAAGCTGTAGGTAAGTTGAGTCCTGTTGAGGAAGGTCAAGTTTTCCAGTGTAATGGACTTGGATGCTTTATCACATCACTACTGAGCTTATGCTCCAGTTTTAACTGCTTGAAGCCCCCTGTATTGTGTAACATGGATAATTGATCTTGACCTTCCACTCTTAATTTTCTCCATAGTAAACTGCATGCCCATTTTCAGAGCATGGAGGTGCGCAATTCTACATTTGCTGCATTTATTGATGTCTTTACACCAAACACATATGTGATGGTTATCATGTCTGACAACACAATCCGTAAGTATATATACAATGAACTTTCTCATAGGTGACACCTATGTGCAACTAGCTCATCCTTGGAGTTGGTTCCTGATACAGGAATTGCTCTACTTTTTACATTTCAAACTCCCCTATGTACAGCAATACTATAACCAACAGACCAGACAGAAAAACCTTTTTACAACCTCTATGTAACTGTTAAGTACCATTGTGAAGGGAAAAAAAATCTCTTGAGTTAACACTGACCAACTTGCTTCCACAAACCTGACTTAGAGCATTCAACTGAAAAACAGGTTGTTAAAAAGGGCAATCAATCTTAATAGCTTGCACACTATAGAAACAAATCTTCAAGTTGTTTATTAAACATAGCCCTCTTCAGAGTATTTACATCTTCAGATTCCAAAGAAATATGAATGTGCTATGAATTTGATTCTATAATGAGTGAATTTTCAACATCTGCTTGAAGTGTAAATTCTTATCTCTCTTAGCATCTGCTGCTACACAGATTAATATTCGCAATGCAAGGAAGCACTTTGAGAGGCTAGAAAAGGTTTCCAGTAATGGGCAGCATTCCCTGAAAGGAAGATAGATAACAAAGAATGATGTACATCTTGAAAATAAACAATATATATCGCTAAATCAGCCAGAGATGTTGTAAAATATAACTATTCCATGTTAAGGGGAATGGTTAGCTGTTTTGTATCTTGTATTATGTAGTTGTATTCCCTGTGATTGCCATGTTATTAATAATAATTACATTTTTGTGTAATGACATACCTTCTGCTTAGGAAATAGTGTCCCGCATGGTGATACGATGATAGTATACTACTGAGCCAGATAGTCAGTCAGATAATGAAAATAATAATAATGAAAAGGTTCAGTACAACTGAAAAAAGCCTTTAAGAGTCTCTTGGTTTGCCATCCATGAACAGAAAGAAGGAGTAATATATGAACAAGAACAAGGATGTATTGAGCCATGATTAATAAACCTTCGAGAGCAGGCCTGCAAGTCGAGTCCCAGCCTTTATCATTCTGAACAGTCTTGTCTGGTAAGGATGAAGATCACCGGCAGAACTTGTTCTTAATTAACAGGTTGTGAGAGACTTTAAATTGATATTTGCTCAGTTTTTCTTTAGCGTGGCTTAATATCCATTGGAAAAAATCATGCTGTGCCTTACTCATTATTACTGGTTTAAATAATTTTTTGTGTTAATTGTCATTATCAATCCAAGTTTATTCCACTTAAATTAATTTGCTTTCTACACATATGACCTGATATATTTTTCTTTAAGGTGACTCATTGATTGCCAAATGCCCGTGTGATAGTCTAGTGTTACTTTATTGATGTAGGGCTAGCCTATCTTTGAGGTATTTGTAACCACTCCTGGAAAGAAACTGAGTATGTTCAGAGTAATGTGAGCTGGAGTTGAAATTGAGTCTTTCTTAATAAAAAACAATTGCACACTGCGTCTGCGTTTCTTATTAGTGATAAGAAGACTAGTTACTACAAGAAGCAAACAGATTATTGAGTGCAGGCGATAAAAGAAACCACGACGTGCTAGCGCTCGAAGCTTGATCTGTTACCGCCAAAAATCATATTGACGTAATTCATTGTGAATTCGTAACTTTTCACTTTCCATCGCATTTTTATTTATATTTGTTCTTTTGTTTTCACGCGCATTACTTTCATCGATAATCCACTACTTTGTTTTTACATCATTTCCCTAAGTTCTATACCATAAATTTCATTCATTCGGCTTTCTCGTTTAACTGTTCTGATTCATTTTTCAAAATCGCTTTAAATCGTTCTCTATCGTCTGTAACCAGCCATTTGTTCCCGGACCTCCTATAGCGTTTGGAAGTGTCTTTAGTAAATCTTTACTTTGTTTTCTCGTTTGCCAATTTCTTTACGTATAAATTTAGTAACTTATTATTTGTAACCTTGTTTTAGCAACTGCTTCAATTGTTCACTTCGCTTCGAATCTTCACGTCGTTTCGTTTTGTTTGGAAGTACATTAAAGCGTGTTTTCGTTTGGATATGTACGAGTATCTTTGGTCATCGTATCAGCTTGTGAAACTCTTTACGGTGGCCAATTTACGCAGTATGACGGTCTCTTAGGAAACTTCCCCACTTTAATCATGATAAGTCAATCTGGTTGACATTTTTGTTGCTTACAGTGACAAGTAGAGGGTAAAGATGAATCTTGTTAAGGTGATCTTTTCCTTCCAACCAACCCCCTGATTTTGAGAATAGATTAAAGCTGTAATAGTTAGAGACAAAAAATGCGTTTTTATTTCCGTTTATGCCTTTTATTAGATAAAGGACTCTGAGATGGTTTCACAGATAAGTTTCTTTTAAAAAGGTGATTTTGTCTCTTGATCCTGCCTTGAGAAAAAAGTAACACCTTTGCCAACAACATTTACAACTCCTCATCAGGAATTTGCACATAAAAGAGTAAATATTGTGACCTTTCTTGGATTAATTATTTTCGAAACTAGTTTTGCCGACCGATTGGAAAATGTGCGCCAATTATTTGGACACGAATGAGGCGAATACACCATATCGAGGCTTACTGGTAACTTCTTGGGAAAGACCACGAACCGCTTTTTAAAACTTTCTTTTTACGACGCCCCACTGCAAAACTGATATAACTAGAAGAAAACGAAAACGGTAAAGCCGCTGTTTTTAAACTTTTCTCGGGGAGTTTTCTGGTAAGCTCGATTCAATATACCCGACCCACACCAAAACTAATGGCTCACAGTCAAACAAATGACACGTCTTGTTAACATTTAAGGTCCGCCCCACATTTCCCACAAAATCGGTCACCCGATCGAGATTTTGTACCACAACGAAAACAAACCGAGATTTCGTTCTCCAACAAGTTGTTTTCTCTAGAAAGCGGAGGCGAACCTCGATAAGGCGGCAAAAATGCTGGCCCAATGAGGCCGTTGTGCGCATGATATCCATTCAGTTCTCTTTCTTCATGCTCGTTTCTTTGAGTTTGTAACGAACGGCTTCGTATCATGGGAGGTAACCTTAGTCCACCATGAGCCTGCGCTCCCATTGAGGTCAGTGGGTGCGCCGTAGTCTTGGTAGCACCGTTGAATGACGTAAGAGGTAAAGAGAGAGGCACGCCTGGAAGCAGAGTTTGTTTAACTCCCGTGAACGGAATGCTGGAAAAACTAGAAGACAAAGGGGCAGAGGGAAGACAGGACGAGGCTGGCTCCGGAAAGTCGATGGAATGACTCTTGCCAGCTAGAATACATTCGATCGCTTGGACCAAATCACCACTGCAGCCTTTCAGAACGAGTTCCAATACGTTTTCTTTGTGTGAAGGAAATATTTTGCTGAGAACTTCGACAGGATGGGGAGGTTTCCGTCTTTTGAAGGCAGATTCACCAAGACTCTTTTGAAGAAGCTTCACGGTGTAGTCGAAATCATCTTGGTCACGGAAAGTCGAGCTCCATGGCAACTGAAACGAAGAGTTATCGTTCTCCCTGATCACATGATCTGCTTGTGGTCGACAGCTTTCATGCACGTGAAAGCGAGGTGACGGGGAGCGAGAAACATTCCCGTTTGTAAGCTGCGGTGAGGCGCTTCTTGCCAATCTTTTGGGAGGAGGTTCATCACCTCGGTCGTCTTCGGGAAGAGTGTCATTGCTGGAATACTCCGGATCAATTTTTTCTTCTTTAATGAACACTGGCTGTTGTGAGTTTTTCTCTGTAAGATGAATCATGGAAGAGAAGTTAGGATTCACCCTAACCTTTTCACTTTCAATCAAAGTAACTGAATTATTTGCACCGTCTGCCAAACATTTCAATTGAAGACAAACTCGTTAAACAGACAAACCAAAAAATGTATGTCAGTAGAACTTTCTGTTGTCTTTTCAAGTCTCTCTCTCCTTCAATAAAAGTGAGTTGAAATAATAGGCGGACATTTCCTCTTTACGTCAGACAAATCCAATTTAAAAGCGCTGTCAGCACAAGAATTAGAACGAATCGTTTAGCACAAATTATCGAACCATACCGGTACCACTGAATAATTTCTAATAAGTACCAACCTCCCTTTAGGAAAAAGTAGCGTTCAAATTCAACATACGAGCAAGCAGTTATACAATTTATCAGAGAAGTAATTAATTTTGATAAAAAGTCTAGATATTTTTGTACTCGCTCAAGTGGGCAACAGGTGGTTTGATTGTTTGTGCAGTTTGTGCAGTTCATTAAACTAAATGATAAATACTTTCGGAAACATACGATCAAATGAACTATTCGAGAATGAATAGAAATTACCTATTTATAACAAATTTCCCAAAGAGAATAACCACATGTATTACTGTTTCTTTACTACAGTCCATTTCCTTCAATTACAAAATTCGTTTTTTTCTCTCTACTTAAATATAGCACTTAAACTCTACGCAATTGACATGTGCATTAAATTAAATCTTATGAGACACCTCTGACAAGAAAAAACTAATTCGAATGTTTTTTATCTTCTTGGTATGTTCCTTTCTCCTCTTTCAATGATGATGTAATTTAAAATTTGTTTTAGTGCTGTACATTAAGAAAAGTTGGGCTTAGAATTACCGTCAACGCGAAACAAAAAGATCGATAGAAATGGTTTTATAGACAACTCACTGTTAAGATTACACAACACTTTCACCGAGACAAAAGAATTTTTTTTTCAGTTGATTTCAACCGCAGCTGATCTTTTGTTCTTTCAAATCGTCTTCCGTTTTAGAGTTTGTTTCACGCCTGATGACACCTGGAAATCACATACTAATTTTTTCAAATCACGTACCATTTTTTAAATGGCTAACTTTGTATTGACATACTATACAAAAAAAGAAAAATCATAACTATCTTTTTATTACCTTCAGTTACAGGGCAAGAAGCTGGTCGTGTTGGTTCGGATGGAGGACTGGCGGAGAAAACCGAGTTCACTCTCGGCGTGAACGAAGGGAATACTACTTCGTGATCCGCGCCTCCATGCGTAAATTCAACGCATGGTCCACAGCCTTTAGACTCGAACGGTTCCATTCTGGTTTGATGGCGCAGAAGGGCCACCCTAGCGGCGGTAATTCTCTGTCTCTCTGCTATTAACAGGCACTTGGGGCAAACACAGTCCCTCCATTTACAATAATGTTTGTGACCTTTCAGCGAAGATACCACTCCGTGATTCCGGCAGCGGGCGCATTTTGGCGCGCGTAGGGTACTGTTGGATGGGGCATTTTCAGATACAGCGCTCATGGCAATTTCAAAAGATTTTCTCGTCGAGTTTGACCTAAGAGATGAAACAAAACTCAATACTACAGCTTCTCCACGTGATGGATGCTCTAGTCCTCTACGATTAAAGCAAAATTGGTCTCAAATAGAAAGACCACTGTTTAAATGTCTCTGACTAATTAACAGGGATGTTTGCTAAGAAAAACGAGCCATCTCATTGGCTTGTCGCTGTTCAATTATTCAATACTATTGTTAGTTCGCCCGCAAGTGATACTTAGTCCTTAAAAACTGTACAAAGTATAAATACACAAAATGGCAACCCACAAAACTTTGAAGCGATGGGGAAAATTTATCCTGACTTTAAGGACTTTCGGAAGTACTCCTTCATTCGATTCAGAGCGGGTGATCCCGCCTCAAGTCAAAGCCCTCTGTTGTCATTCTCTTAGACAAGTTTGTTCTCGCTCTTTAAACAGCAGTATAAAAGTAACATAATTTATGCATGAATTTTATTCACCTCGAAGATTTTTTTTCATCACCACCAGCCAGAAAAATCTCGAACAGAACAAAATTAAATGGAGAAATCGTGAAACTAACATGGAAAGTTTTGATTTTTTTCAATTCAGATGCGTTTATTTGGAGACAGATGTGTGGTAATACTTCAAAACTTAACCAACCATTTCACCATGTACCAGGCCAAACAAAAGAATTGACAAGCAATGAAACTAAAAACTTCTCACCTCGAGGAATGCATTTCCTGATATTTTAAGATTTTACGAGAGTCCAGCGGAATAAATTTCGTGACTTACTCCTTCAAAACCGTGACCCAAATGTATTTCAAAAGGGTTCTTTCGCGAAGACTGAGAATTCAGACGAGGATTTTCGTAGCTGTAGCAGAGTTGTTAGCTTTGTCAGTGTACGTGATTAAAATTAATAACCATTTTAAACATGGTATTTACACTTTTCGAGTAGCAACTGTTCACCTTTTCCGGAGCACTCGTTTGTTTTGCTTATTACAAGGCGGCGAAATATTTTTATGACATTTTTTCTTTTGTTGACTTAAGCATGTCCGCGGCCCGTGAATTGGTTTCTTCGCCACAATCGGAAATGTATACATTTCGGTAAATACATTAACACTGCCATTACACTGAATAAACAGATGTTAGCTCTGAACCAAACCAGTTTTTTTTAAATTTCTTTTTCCAAGTTTGCATAGTATTATGTTTTATGGCCGAATTGTCAGTCAGACTTCAAAGACTGCCTACCCCATTATATTTCTCAAAAATTGACGTGGTCGTAAGATCGCACATGACATAGCCATGTGCTTTTAATATTTATCATTTTCATTTTTCAAGCTGATCTCTTCCTTAACATAGAATTTTCAGTACTTTGACGAATCTAAGTATGAAGTAAAAGAAATTCGATACCACCCATGGTTTTTGCGTAAAGATGAAAATAACAGTAGGTATTTTTTGCTTGCTAACACATTCTAACCGATACCAGTTCGGGACGTTTTAATATTTCATGTGAGAGAGCGGAAGATTATGCTTTCCCTCTGTGAACCAGACAGACTGTAAAATATAACAGAAACACAAATTGATAAATGAACATCGGATTTCGGATTCAAGGCAATTCTTTGCGAACACTTGACAATTTAAAACTCATTTATTAAAGTTCGTTTCAATTCATTGTTGAAGTTTCATACATTTAAAAATCTAGTTCATTTACAGTGGTTTTATTGTCTTTACGCCGACGACATGTTATTTCACCAATTGACTTTTAAGGACTTCACACAATCTTTCATTAGATCTCCTAAAGTCCGCAGTTTTTCCCTACTTTTTGAGGTTAAAATCTATTAGTCATAATATTCAAGTTATTTTCAATAAACGCGCCTTTAAAATATTTGTATGAATTACTCCGTTACTCAGGCGCTCAGACACAAAAAAGTTAACAAGTGATTATTTTTCCTGTTTTTCGGCGAATCTACCAAAGCAGTGCACTCAGCCTTTACAATAACATTCTAAAAACAGAACCCAAAAATCGCAATATAAACAAATTCTTTATTGATGTAAAAAAAGCATTCGACTGAAACATTCTTGCTAACTTCAGTTCAGCTATACCAGCGGGTTACTTGCAGGTGGCGGCGATAAATATTTACCTTACTATTACCTCTAATTAGGATACTCTGCAAAATGTAACCTTAGAAGACCGCCCTAAACTGAAAAATATATAAAAAAGAAAAAAAAAGACATAACGTTTTCGATACTTACTGCGTCAAGGAAGCATCATACGTCGTGTAAGGTACATGAACATTCGCTCGATCGTTTGTTGGAAGACGAGCTAAATTTGAGTTGGCGTTGTTACACTCGAGGAAAAATAAATCATCGGACTAGCATTCCTGCAGTTTGAGGATTCAGGACTTGTCTCTTAAAAGACTCCTAGGTGAAGAAGCATTGCGAGATGGAACCGCAGAATTGATTTTTTTCAAGAGTTGAAAATACTAGAACCGACCAAATGCTGTTCCATAATTGATATCATCCTCTTCCAACGAACGCTTTTTCTTTGTTCACCATGAAATACCTGTTCTGAGCATTGCACCTTTATGCTCTTCGTGCTTGTTTTTTTTTTCTTTCTTTCTTTTTTTTTTTTCAAAATAAGGACTTCACGTGGTGTTATTTAATACTTTAACAAAACTCTTAGTTAGTACCAGTTTAACGTTTCGCCCTACAAAAATATTTTGAAAGAACCTTTGCCTTCGTAAGGGCTCCCCATTTTCTTAATGAAGGGCAGAAGCCTAAGGAATAGCCCGTGGGAATTCTACCCAAGAGCTTTGTGCTTTGATCTTGGGTAAAGCACTTAAACAATCTCTTGTCACCCGCTCGCTTTTGTGCGGAAATGTTTTTGTCAGGATTTCATTACAAAGGTTCTTTTGGAAGAAAGCTAGTTGAAATTGAAAGACCTTCAATCTTAAGTACTTCATCATATCAAATAGAAATGTGATCCTACCAGTGCCACAGATACTAACGGTAAAGCCAACAGAAATTGGAATAAGCGTCGTGAAGAACTAGGAATAAGCTGTAATCATACAAGCTCTGTGCTAGCGACTTGAAAGCTTTTTCCCTATAGCCACCTAGAAAAAGCCTTTCCATGATGTTCTTGCTGTGCTCATTCCCTCCAAGATTGTTATTCCACCATCACTCCAATTACCATATTGGGGCAACGAAACGCGCAAAGTTTGCCACGGTATTACAATAGGACGGGGTCAAATTCGGAAGGGAAGCGGAACGCACTGGACGATCCAAACAACTACTTTTTCGTTTTAGTTGGGCTAGAAATTTTTAAGCAACGAGCTTTTAAGTGTATCAGTTTGTTTCGTTGGTCATAAAAAAGCGGACTTACATGGTTTGGTTTGTAATATTACCGTCTTTCACGCACACCGTATGCGATCGCTATAATACTCAGATAAGTCAGAAATTATTTAGAAACTAGAAGCCAAAAATACTAGGAAACGAAATATTGGTGGATAAAATCCCTTATTCGATGGTTTAACATATAACAAGGTCCGACAGTTTGCTTATCGCATGGACTTTTCTCGCCCCTTGAGGGGCTCGGATAAATACGACGCAATTCGCCAAATATCCGCGCTAATCGAACAACATGTATATTTCCAGCGCGATATGAAAACTATGCTTAGTAGAAACTCGCCGTAGCTTCCATCCTTGTGAAACAACAAATCCAATGGCTTCGCAAAGAAACCGAGTAAACCTTCATCTGTCTGTTGTATCTCTAGCAATGATTCCACAATTTGAAAGTTTTAAATAATTATTTTGTTATGTACAAAACCGAGTATTTATGAAGATGCTTTCGCGCGGACACAAAGGGAAGTAACTTTTGTTTTTCAAACAGCAACCAAAAAAAAACACAAGTTAATCTAAGGTTCTATAACCTAGAGTGTAATAGCTCAAACCTCAGTTTCTTTCCCTAGCAGTCCTTTGAAGTCAAGTTACGAGTTCACAAAATCATATCAGGATACTAATAACAGAGTATGGATTTCTCATCAAAGGTAACAAAAATCTTCTGATCCTTATTTTCCTTCATTCATTTTCATTACAATTAGCGCAAGTTAAAAAGTTGTTACATCGTCGGCTCTGATAGGCGTGCGTCAAAACACTTCGCTCCATTCATCTCTCAAGTGACTGATGACGTTTGTTCATTGCGTGTTCACAAAGACGAGGGATGCTTGCAGTAGAGATTCATTTAGGATCAGTGTTTCACATGAACGATTACTTCGTGTAGGCAGCACGTAAACGGCGTCGATCAAAGAGCCATTTTCCTTCCTTCGATGCTAATACCCACGGCTCGCTGTGATCCTCTGTTGAGAAGCTTTTTCTTTTCATCAAACTTTCTCTTCTGTTTTTCAAAACGGTTCATCGACTTTTGAGGTTTCTGAAATTGACAGAACATAGCAAAGCAAGACGAAACTCGTTTTATATCCAATAACTTTTTTACTGTCTGATTAATCCTTTGTTCGTAAATTGGTTGTATACACTAAACTAAAACTGATTTCTAATCTTCCCCTATAGCTAAAGCTAATAACTTTCCTTCAAAAGAACACTTCCAAGCTGATGCATATGTCTATCATAATAGCAACCTGTTAGGCGTTTACTGGTCAGGCAGCCCTTAAGTTAGATTTCAACTGCATTCTACACCACACTGGCAAATTGTACTTTCCAATATGCCTGACAACCGTCGCTCAAAGGCGAGTCATGTGTACGTAACGTGACACTGACCTAGTAACTGTAGTCTCATCATCGACTTACCTTGGAGAAATCCATCCGTTCAACAGCATTCTGTGGTCGCACAACGTAATCTTTGTTGGATGGCATGGGAACGCGGGCTCGCATCACAAAGCCCTTGTCACCAGGCTTCACGGCTCTGAAGAGGGGTTCAAGACACGTCGCGTTAGTGAAGCGCAAAACAAATAAGGTTGAAGATCAAGCGTACTCACTTTTTGTCGCTCTGCAGAGCAGAATCGATGGACTTTGGAGTCCTGCCTCCATCGCTATCTACTGAACTGAGAAAGCAAAATAAAACAAGCGTGATAATCTCTTTTAGTCTACTTTAGATAAGGACGCAACTCAAAAAGTATGATACTCTCGAAATAGGATATGTGAAAAAGAGATGATTTCAAATGGGATGACTGCTGAGATGGTTGAGCATAACGACTGAAACGATGAAGTTTTAAGTAAGTATGAGTTCACCATCATTTTCACTACTACGTGAACCTCACTGGAAACAACTTCCGCTCATAAAAACCAGCTGCGGTTCAAACATCAGCCGGATTGGTCCAAATAAAAAATAATGCTGTAATAGTACAAACAAATGTTATTTTTGCATCCTATAATAAGAGGATAGACATGTGGCTACAATAAGTGTCTGCTTCACAAAGGTGTTCCTTCAGTGAAGTTGACAGACCAGCGGTTGTAAGAAGATTTTTCAGTCGGGACAAGAATTTGGGTCCCTGAAATGGGGGGAACCCTTGAAGTAAGTTGTCGTGGAAGAAGCTTTCCATAGTAACAAATTCCAACACGATACCTTAATCTTCTTTTCTTGGACATGTTTTGGTAATCCCGCTGTTCTCTCTCCTCTCGACTGAGGGATTTGAAGTTTGACGTCACACCAAAAATCGGCCGCGCCCAGTCATCTAGACAGAATAAACCACAAACTTAGTAAACAAAATAAATACTGAGAAAAAAACCAAAACAAATGAAATATAACAATAAATAAAAAAAGGGGCTAAACGCCCTGAAGCTAAAAGCATTAAACTTCTAGGGTCATTTTAATGTGGGAAGGCGGAAGTACTTCTCATTTTATGAGGGAGGACGGAAGTACTTCCAGAAAATTCCCTTCTATCGGAGTAACTTTACTTGATCGTTTGCTTTCTATCTTAAAAAAAGTTATTTACGTGCCCCAAACCCACCCTTTTTAACAACTATGAAAAGTTCTGGACCTTTCTTACATAATAATGCGCATGAAAAATTACTCGCTTCTGATTGACTGAAAACGAGCGCATTCTCATGTAACCAGAGTGCAAAGTTAAAACGCGAGTTTAAATAACAAATAGCGTGCGCTGTCAAAATTTTGCCTGTCTTGACTTTTTTTTGGGATGCTTTTTACCATGCATATTATCAACAAGTAATAGCATGGTTTCTCCTGCAATTTGGTGTTAATAAGCACTTGTAAATTTTCAAAGACTACAAATTGCACTTGACCTACGACCTCGTGCAATTTTGTTGTCTTTGAAAAATTTACTTACTGCTCATTAACATCAAATTGCACTTGAAATCATGTTATTACCTTTATAAAATGAGTTGGACTTGTATAAAATAAAAGATAAATTTGGTGGTAAGGCTAAGGAAAATGGCCTGCTTAGGGGTACGAGGAAACGATAAAGCAACAGTTTAAAATCTCTCGGACAAAGACAAGCCGACAGGGTCCTCTCTCTTCTAATTTTGGTCCTTGGGAACAAGGTTGACGAAAGAGGGCGAGGGGAAATTCTTTAACGTTATGCTACCACTGGAATTGTACTGAAATGTGGTGCGGTGAGATGGGCTTCTATCGCAAAGCATTATTTAATTCCGTTACATAATGCACGACTTTTCAGAAGGGATCCTTGAAGGAAATTTCTATTCAAATCTCGTTCTTGTAACCGTAATAACAATACTTACTGACGAGTTTTCCTGCAATTTTCTTATTGGCTCTTGTCTCTCTCGGATGGCGGCACAGGTACATGACTGCCTTACCGATTCCGCTCATTTTAAGAGTTCTGCTGTCCATGGAAGGAAACTAAAAACGAATAACTACTTATCAACCGAGAGTGAGGTCCTCACGAGAGAATCGTAACTATAATTCAGCCAGTGAGCAAAAGGAACATTGTTAGTGACACAGAACAACCCAACTGGCGGCAAGGATCATGGGTAATCCGTACAGAATTACTACCTCTGGTCCATTAAATCCTAATGAAGATGTTGACTGAGGACAGAGGGACAAAAGTACGAACTTATTTTCAGAGAGCCCACGAGCATTTCAAGCTCAAAGCTTACCTCGGCTAAGACTTTGAGCAGTCCTTCTCGAATCTGAAGATGAGGTAAAGAACCATCAGGCAGAGGGCTCAACCAGTCCTAAGGCGTAAAGCAAAATACGACATGAGTTATTATGTAGAATACTGACCACGAGTACTGCAGTAACTACACGCGTGGAAATCACACGCACTTCCGGTGCGTCCATAGCCACGTGAGTAGTAGTGCTTTTCAAAAGAAAATACTTTCATTTTCATCGGGAAAAAGTTATACAGCCATTTTCAAATTGAGCGTTAAAGTAATCTGGGACATTTACGATAGGATTCACGACCTATCGAAACTGCCAACTTTCTGCTCAGCTGCTAAATTTTCTATTTCTGACAAAACATTTCTTCGTTTAAGGGTAAAAGAAAAATAACACATCTGGATGAAGGAGCTTACTAACCTTCAAAACAGGCAAAACGCCAAGCTCGAGGAATGTAGTTTGTAAATCAGCTCTGAAATACCAAACAAGAGACAATCATGAAGTGAGCAAAACAATTAAAGACAAGTATTTTGAATAAGGGAGGCAGACCGAACGGGATAACAGTCAGACTCACTTGTGTAAGTGTGTTAGAACAGAAGGAAGCATTTTGAGTTTCTTGGTAGCTGCTTGCTTTGCTCCGTTCAGCATCCTATCTTCCTGAATAAATAAAAAGAAACAAACTGCATGTGAAGCTAGAAAAGTAACAGTAAGAAGGACTAATTGGAATTTCAAAGTGGAATTACAGATTAAAATTATAAAAATAACCCAAAGTAAAAATCACAGGTACCTCTGCAACTTCTTTCATCTGAGTTATCATATGTGCTACTGCATCATCACTGTCACTTATGATGTCCACATTCTGTAAGTCCAAAACCATTAATAATCTGTGAGTTTTTATTCATATTCATTAAACTTTCATTAACTATAACTGTGTTTCAGAGACCTCTGAGATAAAAAAAAAATATTTTTTTGCACAAAAAGGTGAATTTCATTGGGAGATAAAGATTATCCCATGGAAAGTGCACACAGACGATTGTTATTCTTGGATTTCGATGTGGGGCTTTTTCATGTGTTAATCTAACTACATATGAAATAAATGAAACTTTGCAATTTCAAAACTGATTAACTAAAGTAACTTTTTGTCTTAAAATTTTGGCCTGAAATCATACTTGCGAACTCAAATCAACTTGTGGTGCATTCCAATTTGATTGTGAAATCACGAATATGATGTCTGACCAAATTGAACTCCACTTGTTTCACTTATCAATATTCTGTAAATACTTCTTACCTTCCTTTTCCTTCTGAAATTCCTGTTCATCTGTATAAGCACACAAATAATGAGTTAGTCATAAAACCATCATACACATGAAACTGCTAAAGGTTACCTTAAGTCCTGTCAAATCAGACTGTTTGACGACCAAATATGATCATAGATATACCAAGACGTCAAAAATCTGTTATGAGCATGGGCCAAATATAAATTCTATTTTGTAGCTAATGCTTAACAAAGTAATTTACAGAGAAGGATTCTGCAAGCCAAGGAAACTTTTTTCTTCCTCTAGTATCCATTCCTAGGAAGTCCATTCTCGAGATCTAACCCTACTTGCAAGATGCAACATCAGAAGAAATCACAGAGAAGAAACAAAACATTTTAAAATAAGTTCCTTTGAGTAACCATAAAGACTGCAAGTTTGTATGTACCTCTTTCTTTTTCTGTATCATCAGGTCAAAATCTGACACAAACCTAAAAAGAAAACAAGATGTACATGTATGGCATAAATGAATAAAAACAAGAACACAATTACATGAAATACCCCTGGGTAAATCACTTTTTTCTGGTGAATAACAGTAACAAACTGACACCCACAAGTAAATTGTAATTAAGAGAAATGTACCAAGAGAAACCTGACGGAATTCAAAATGGCAAAAGCACCAATGCAATTACATCATTCAAGTGAACAAGTAATGTTCCAAGAGCTGTCTTCATTGTTTGAAAAAAAGTTGTATACTGAAATGAATTTAATTACAGTACACTTACACTTGCTTGTCATCCAAATCATCGTCATCATCATCATCATCGTCTAAGGCACTTTTGTTAGATTTGGGTTTTGGAACCTTCATTGTTTCCAAGTCATCCTTATTTGCTTTAACTTCTTCATCATCAGCTTCTGATCCAAGGGACAGTGAGTGCTGCTTTCTGTCTCGTGCTAAATACAGACAGCAAGGATTTGACTTTGAGTAATATAAACTGTGCACAACAAAATTTCCCTGGATAAACAGTTACTGATTGGAAAAAGTAACAAGCTATAAATCTTTACCTCCCTTCTTCTTCTTGGTCACTTCAATGTCTTCTTGTCCAAATCCCTAAAAGTTTGAAGAATCAGTAAGAAATTGTTCATTTGTTTTGATTACAGTATCAGAGCAGACTAGTAAAGAACATTGAAAAAAATGTCATCTTGCAAAGGGTACAAGTTTATTGACTATATTGTTATGTTAAAACACCAAATTCTCATAAGAAGCCAGAAAATATTTCGCTCAATGTTAGTATCTGTGTAACTGCCCACCCACCCCTTCCCTCAATCAACAAAAGTCAACTAATAACAAATCAGGGTTAATGTTGGGTTAGGGGAGGGGTAGGTGTGTGATTTTATTGATCCAAATATTCATATATGGTCATCAGTTGGGGGGGGGGGGGGAGTTAACATTCAGATCCCTGGTAGTGAAAAAGTTTAGCTAGAAAGAGAGGCGAAACAAACTGAGTAAACTGTCAGGTGTTTTCATTCTTACCACAAATTCTTCCTCCTCGTCACTAGCACCAAAAATATCCTGAATCAGCTGCTCACCAGCCTCCTCTTCAGATTCTACCCTGATCAATGTTTGAAGAAATATACTTCTTATCTAACTTGTAAAATGTGCAAGAAGAAAATGTTTGTGGTTACTGGTCCCAAAAAGTGCGTTTTGTTTGCTGCATTTACATTAAAGATTAAAATATTAACAGGTTTGAAATTTAAACAGTTAAAATATCTGGCAATGAAACAAGGGAAATGTGTTTGAGCAAAGGTAAACATCACTAATCCTTACAGAACTTTAACATAAGGGTTTGAGTCTGAAAGGGAATTAGGGCCTTTAAAAGAGGCTCCTGAACTGGTCACTGTATTGTCTTCTTGGGCAAAAACTTCACTCTTATAGTGCCTCTTGGCACACAGGGGTGTAAATTGGTTGAACTGAACTGTGATGAAAATTTGATGAAATGCAAGGGGATAAGCTTGTGATGGTCATGCAGTCACCTTGCCATCAGGAAGACTCGCCACTAGAGTTGTTGTGGTAGTGGAGTAAAAATTGTCAGGATCTCCTTGTGAGCTTTCAAAACACTTGTTTTGTCAACAAAAATATGCATGCGTTCAATAATATTCCTTGTAATTTGTTTGTTCAATCAAAAAGTTGCAGTCTGTCACTATGAACATTCTAAATATTTACAGGATAGAATTCGTCATTCAATAGTCCCTTTGATATCTTCTTGTAACAGATCAAATTGGTGGCTCCTTGACTATTATGCACATTTGACTCACCTTCTGCCATCTTGATAAAACTATTGAGCCTTCAGCACAGCTCTGCGGTTTTGCCTTTGGCATTCCTATGGTGATGCTTGCAAGACTTAAGTTCAAACTTAAGAGTCGCCTAAATCTTTGAATCTATAATGAATTAGCTAGCAACCTTGGTGGCAAGTTTACTGGTGGCCCCTTGGTGGTGGTGAGATTACCTTAGTGGTGAGCTCACTGGTGGTGAGTCTTCCTAGTGGCAAGATAACTGTAAAATATCATGCAGGGGGGAAGGCAAAGTACTAAGCAAAGTTAACTTAAAATCTCTATTCATTAGATGCCTCCAGAACTTCATGATCATGTTATATAAGACTCTTATTTACTTCTGAACAGTACCATGAGTTGCATTGAGAAAAATAATGATGATCAGCTGTGTGGTCACAATGTAAAGATTGCACATACCCTTCCTCATCTGGTTCTGTTGGTCTTCCCTCAGCAAGACTCTTCTCCTCTTTAGCTATGTTGTTGAGGTCATCGTTTTGGTCTGCAAAGAAAGGGCACAGTGTATGTGTCAAGACTACCTATCACATGAGAGGTGGAACCAAGCTCCCAAAGGGCTGGGAGAAGAGGCAGGATTAGTAAAAGAGTTTTGGAGTTGGTGGCTTTATTGTTGAAGTAAGTAGTTATTTTGAAGGTGAGATCAGAGGAATGTCTCAATAGAGTAACCAGCCTACATCACCATGTTAATAGTTTCCTATACTCACTGCTGGACAGTTTTTTCAGCTGTAAGGGATATTGGATCAATATTGGTATCTGGGCAACTGCCCACCTACCCCTCCCCTAAGGGGTAGGTGGGCAATTGCCCAGATACTGATGTTGATCCGGGATATCTTAGAACTACCTCTAATGATCTAAGCTCTCTACTCCTCTTTTTTCTGATTTTGTCTTTTCAATTTTCTCTCTAACTGGTTTGATAACCTAATACCACCTTTCCAACCAGTCAGAGACAAAATAAAACAAATGCAGGGGTTTCAATAACTTTTTCCCTATTCAGCTGCTGATGGTGTAATTGGTGGCTGCACCTTCAGGCAAAACTTTACATGCAGTTCACTTACTGCTTAATACCCTCAGAGCTTAGGGAAAAAACTGGGCAACTCATATAATGTCAACATAATTTGGTTTTCATCAATGGGGTTGATAAAATGAGTTTGTTAAGTGTTACTTTACATAAAAGATACTAGGTGCACTCTGATTAATGAAAAAAAGGGTTCAGTATATCATTAGACTATAGCTGTTTCATAAAACAAAAGGCCACACTTTATAACGGCTTGCCAGCAAAACAACCGACGTGGAATGTTGAGAGAACACTCAACAAGTCTGTAAATCACTCATCTTTGGCTTGAGATTTCCGAGTGTTTCTCATACTACCCAACATCCTGAGTGAGTTATTGTACTGGTTCACAGATAGAAAGTGTGCCCTACCGTTTCAAAATCAATCATACCTATTGGCCCTTCCTTAGACTCGTCTTCATTGCCAGGAAGAAGCTTGGAGACATCACTTTTCAAAATGTCATCAACTATTTCTGATTCAGGTCCTGAGAGTCCAAGACCTAAAGGTGATATTGGCATTTCTAAATCATCGTCCGTTGCTGCCCCTGAAGAAAAAGTTCGCCATCTTTCGGTTGTGTTCTCTGTTACATTTAAATTTCCCTCGGGCTCTCCTTCGCCCATCTCTGCTCTTGGTGTAGACAGCTGACTAAGAACTCCAAGTTCACCTTCGACTTCCGTTCCTACTAAATTCTCTTGTTTTCTTTCAGATTCTTGATTTGTTTTTTGTGGTAATTGCTCAGCTTCTAAGGAAGCATCCTTCTCTTTGTGATCTTCTTTGGCGACCGTGTTCTCCTGGTCGTCAGCTGTTGCCGAAGTTGATGAAACGGGCGACATTTCCTGATCGTATAGAGGACTAGCGTCAGGTTTCGCCTCCGTAATGATATCCTCTTTTGTATTATCTTCCCTATCACCTGGGGAACTAACGTTAGAACTATCGTTGCTATCTTCAGGCTGTTGTTTGGTGGCTTCTTCGCCGGTTTTTTCTTCATCTTCGTTGTCTGAAATATCGCTAAAACCTGGCGCCCTTGGCGAATCACCGCCATGATGGATTTCAGGTGTCGGTGGCTTTTCTATCTCATCATCTCCGGAATCAATGTCGTCAAAGGGATTTCTGACATGATCACCCATTCTTGCAAGGAACAGAGTCTTCTATTCTGAATACCAAACCTTCTTAGGAGATGGAATAAAAACAAACCTCACTTCACACGATCACGCTTCGATACTCAACTCTCTTCAAAACACAATCCTCCGCTCAGTAGCCAAGCCTTTTAGTGGTTTCCAGTCTTCAGTGCTCGCTCACCTAACCCGCCTGTAAGGCAGAGGGTGGACAAGAGGGGAGTGAAGAAAAACAACAAGCTTAGCAGGCTACTGTCGCCGGGTCCTAGCTTGCAACCGGCCGCAGCGTTCATAATCAGACTGCACGTACGATATGGAAATGGCAATCAGTTTTTATTGCAGTATGTATCACACGTAGGAGCCCATTAAGTAATTGGCTCCTGTCACACGGTAATTAACAGAGTCTACACCTTTCCTTAAAATAGGATTTTCTTAATATAGACCTCTCCTTAAAATATGATTTTTTTAATATATAGCCCAGTTTGGTAGACTAATAATAAAGAGAATAAAGAGGCCAAAACAGAGCCTTGGAGAACCTGACTTTACAGATGACCACAACACAAGTTTCAACGACTCATCTCTCGCAGTTGGCGATTATAGCGGAGCTCGTAGAGCGTAGCCCCATAATTATACAAAATAGTAGTAACCCATCAAGCCGACCGACGACCGTACGACCGTACGACCGTACAAGGTGCTACTTTTAAGATGCGTGGTCAACTGTACCGCGGGCACGCCAACGCCACGCTTTGTTCAGTAGTCCAGTGGTCAGTGTACTGGGCTCCGAGTCGGACGACCCGGGTTCCGGGGCAAGCCGTTGTGCCCTTGAGACGTGCAGAAAAAAAAAATGCGAGCTCCGCTTTTAGGCTTGGCTAAATCTATATATTAGAGCGTTACATTACAAGTTGATCAAAGCTTCGATTTAGGAGCAGATATTCATCACAGCAAATCTGCCACTGAGCTAACACCTCCTCAACTTTTATTGTGCTCTTCTTAAAGCTTCCAACAGTCTTACTGTATCATTGGGTTACTATCTACTGTTTTGAAGCTGAAAAAAGGCAAACTATACTGAAATTTACGTAGGAGCCCTAAGGCGGTTCTTTATTGAATCACTCTGTAACGATTATACTACTTGGCACTTTCTATTCCTATCAATTTGACAATCCTTTTCCTCGAGGTGATAAATCAGCCGACAAAAACCTCAACTTCGTGGCTAATGGAATAAGCGCTCAGTCTTAATTTCGTATAACCCATCAGGAGAGCCTTTCAATTCTTTCGGTCATCGCGGTTGTGTCCATCATTTTTCCTGATATACTGTACGTACAAAGTTCTCCCCTTAACCGGCGAATATTGTAGGGTCTGATGATCTATTGGCGAAATAAGGGACGTTGATCCCCGTCTTTAATTAATTTCTTTCCTTAGAACCACTTAACTGACTGGATCGCAAACATACAAACAGCCATTCATCTGAGCGTCGGTCTTCTTTTATATTGAAATTGAAATGTTGAAATTCCCGGTCCTTGATTGAAGCCTATTCAATACAAAATTAATTCAGAACACCCTGACGCCAGAGGACATGTTATTTTGGCGAAGTGACAGAGTTCATTCATCGTAATAAATGAGAGAGCAAATGAAAGAGAAACTGAAATTCACATTTTCATTTGTATAGTAAGTTGCTTGGGTGAAGACTCGTTGGTGAAAAAAGAAAAACAAATACAAATCCAAACAAAAACAAACAAATGAAAAGAGACATGAAAGTACAAAAACAACAAACCATAGAAGGGTAACGAAGATAACGATAAATGAAATGGGGAACGGCAAACAATGTTGATTTTGGTCCGTATCAGAGCACAGTTAAGCCGGTTTCGCAATGGACTGGATTCTAGCGCTGAAAATTTGTTTGATGCGCGAGATGTAAACAATTTTAAAGGTTTTTTCTTGCTTTAGTGGACTCAGTATACTGTTACGGTAAGTGTTCATGGGGTAAAATCGTAAGCTTTATTTGAAAAAAATTAAAATTAATTTTAGTCCGTTTACAATAATCAAGGATTTTATGCAGTGACTAATGTTTCCAATTTTCAGGAAGATTATTTAAAAGCTGTTTACAAATAAGACAGCTTGATTGATTACCTAAATACAGTTTCAGATAGAAACATTTTCTTTCACTAAACAGAAAGAATTGCCCTTAACACTAGCTAAAATCCTTTTCAAGCAATCAATTAATCCATCTTATTTTCAAACAGGTTTTCAATAATCTGCCTGAAAAAAGAGATTAGTCATATTTTTGCGTTGGTAACACAAACATGGACATCATTTTGATTAAGGAAAATTGATAAAAACCTTTTAGCGGGTGGCTCTGACATTAGTCATAGTTTCTATTATCGAAGGGACTTAAAGAACATTAAAGTAACAAATGGTAATCGATACAAGCGCTTAAATACAAAGAAAATATTTGCACAATTCATGTGCAAGATGATAGCAGAATTTGTTTTGCTTTGCTAAAAGTACTTCGCGTGATACAAAATTCGGCAAGCAATCGGAGAAAGCCATTTCAGTGCACACTTAGAGTTTCAATGGGTTCAGTTGACTTCAGCGTTCTTTTTCTCCAGCGCGGTCAATTGCGGCCATGTTGGCGTTCATAACTTTGTTGAAGTTTGCGACAAAGAGGAAAACTGGAAGAGCAATGATTAAAACACCAAACACGGTCAGCAGACAACCCACCATTTTACCAGAGGCTGTCAGCGGGTACTGATCGCCGTAACCCACCGTTGTAATCGTGTTCACCGCCCACCAAAACGCGTCAGGGATGCTCGTAAAAGCGCATTTTTCGCAACCAGTCTCGGCGTAGTACGCTGCGCTCGATGATACCACGACACTGATGGAAATGAAGATAAAAAACATTCCCAACTCTTTCATACTCGTATAAAACGTAAATATCAATATCCGCATACCACTAGAGTAGCGGGAGAGTTTGAATATCCGTAAAACACGCAGCATTCTTGCCGCGCGCAGCACCGATAACGGTGCACGAGTGTTTTGCATTGTTAGAAGAACATAGTACGGAACTACGCTGATTATGTCAACGATGTTAAGCATTGAGCGAAAAAACCGCAGTTTATGAGGTGCGCTGCAAAAACGAACCACTAACTCGAAGGTAAACCAAATATAACAGGCCATCTCCAAAGACGAGAAAAACGTGCTCCTATTGTTGTTTATAGAGTTGATGACCCCAGATGACGACTCAAAACATGGTATAACGACCGAAAGAAGAATGATAACAACAGATAAAACTGCCAGAACTCTTGCTGCGTATGATGATTCGGGATGTGAAAACAACAGCCATATCTTACGTTGTATGAGGTTTTGTGGTAAATCCTCGTCTTTTCCTAAAAGAGCACGCTCGATTTTATCTCGAGTAGAAGTGTAAGCGCTTCGAATTTGGAAGAAACGTACCTCATCGATAAAAACATTCTCAGGCACCATGTCGGGTCTAACTAGTCTCCCATACGACTGATAATAAAACAGAATCGCATCGAAAGCCAGTCTGTTTCGGTTGAAAAAGTATTCGTCATGTCTTTTATCAAAATATTGAACACGCTTCTTTGGACATCCTAAAAGAGTGTCTGGGTACCTCGACAAGGTTTCTTCTAAAGTTTCAAACATTGTTCCGCTTACGTTGATCCTAATTCTTGAACTGGCGGAACTTTCTTTCTTTGTCATCGAGAAAGTAGCGTTTGAAGTCATTGCACCATGATTCTTACGGTTCACTCCGCGGGCTGTTTGCCTTACACGTTCAATTGCGCCGTTTGTCTTTCAATAATATTATTCTTATGCTGTTACTTTGCAGTCTGAATTTTAACGAAGGTGCCGCTCTTAAAATTGACTCCAACCTCGAGAAACACCTCAGGTGAGCGATGTCTTCATATACTGTCTCGCCGAAAATCCGTTTCGTGTTGTCCGTGTCGATTAATTAGCGATTTATTTCTCGCTCGAAGACAAGAACTCACTTTGTGGCGAATTTCCTCCCAGTGAGAGTTTACCCGCGAATTACAATGTAAATATACTTCAATAGTTACTTTAAGCTACAATAAATAATTTAAAATTTCCGACGCATGATCACGTATCCTAAGCTAGAGTTTAAAATGAAAAAAATGTGACAGGCAAATAACTTGATAATTTTAGCTGCGAGAGATCGACGGAATGACAGATTTTGTGGATATTTCTGGCGATGAAGGGGTGCTAGGACAATTAACTAATGCCTAAAGACATCTGCTTTGCCACTTGGGGTTAAATTGCTTCTCTTATAAAAAACCAAGTTTCACCGATTATCAAAATTATTTATGATTTTTGCATAAAATGTAAAAGATAGACGTGCTACTCAGAAAACAGCGAAACATGTTTTTTTTACCCTTGACTATCAGCAACTCATTTGTTTACGCTTAAACACATAGTTGTTGACATGATAGATGGTCTCTATGAATCTTGTCGTTCTTGGGTCTCGCTAATAATGACTTAAAGTTAGACTTGAGGATTTGATGCTTTGAGATTCAAGTCATTTCATATTTATTTACATAAGAGTACCACTCAGTAATTGTAATAATGTATACTGCGAGTTCTGACTTGTATTTTACACAAAAAAACGAAAACAATTGAGTAATAAACGCACAGAGAAAAATCTATGAATATTCCTTGCAGATATCGGGCGCCAATGGGGCGATGTGATTCACTTACAGCTTTTATTTCTCCAGGTGTTCGGAAAATTGGAACAAAAACCCTAATTAAACACCGAAATAGCTATTTATAAGCGGCGTATCACAGGGATTCGAAGTGAAACGAGAACTAGTGTAGAAATTGATAGAAAGGCCAAAATGTATTTCGGTCGAGTCTGGAACAAAGTTATAGTGACATGTTTATTGACATGCATCAGAAGTGGAAATAAGTAAAATTAAGCAAAAAATAAATAAAAAAAAGCCCGCGAAATACTCTATTAAACCGTAATATATTACCTAAAATGGTTTTGAGTAAGAGCTTTATGTTGGGGAAATTTGGCTATCTAAAATTTCTGTACCTTCTAAGGGTTTATTCCATTTAAGAATGGATTCCTGGATCCAGTAGTTGTTATGCGTTTATACATTTACACGTGGGCTTTACATAATTTGCATTTATCACGATTTGGAAGTTTTATTTGCTTGCCATATAATTGAACACAGAATATATTATCAATTGGGATTTCAAGTTTATCTAACAGGCGCTCACAGTGCGTATTTTGCATGTTCACTACTTGCTGGAGTTCTCTTGATCGCCTATTTATAAAAAAAAAATGGTCTTCTTTGGCTCAATGTACCTTACATATCTAAGAAAACAAGCACACAGATTCTGTCATGTTTATTATTTCTCCCAAAACATTCGCATAACTGCTTCTAACGCAAAATGTTGTGTTTACTCACGGCACTTTTGTTCTTGCCAATCCTAAAAGTGTGATGGTTATATCAAAGTTTCTTTTTCTTTCACCCGCCCTAAATAAGGCACAATTATAGTATAATTAACAACTATCCACTAAAAGGGCAAATATCCACCGCTAGCCACCGATGCTGAGGTAAATGGTTGTTTTAGTAAACACTAAAACAGTGAGATAACATAGTACAAAAAGATTATTTTAACTTATTTATTCCTGCAACGATTACAATATTTTCTGGCGCAAACGCTCGCACGAGTTGGTCGGAGGTGAGTAGCAAAGAGTTTGAGTAACCAATCAAAGCGCGCCTTCAACGTTAGCATATTTTTTTAGTAAATACTGATATATGGCTGCTCAATATGACTAAACGTTACTGGTCTTTCCACATTCATACAAGTGTGGTTCTGTTTTAATCTCATGTGGCTGCTGGTCGTCAAGGATCCACTTCTCTCCTGAAGCTGATGTACTCCCTTGCTCGTGTTCCACAGTCGATCCTTTCATTTCCATGCTCTTCTCGTCCATCTTGGTCCCAGGATCAATCCTTTTTACTAATTCTCTGAGCAGAGCGTTTTGCGCCTCCATCGTATGAACCAATGTTTCGACGCGTTTCTCAGTAAGGTCAAGCTTTTTCTTAATCTCAGTATAATCCAAAACTACACCGGGGGACGGTTCTTCTTTGGCGCGAGGAGTAAAGTCCAAGCCCGAAGATGTCTTCATTCCAAGAAGAAGCATCAACCTGAATATCGAAGACAAAGAAATAATTTTGTGAAGTGAACATTTTAACCCTTAATTTGACTCCCAAGATGTGATTGTTACTTCTCCCCTCAAGTTGCTATAAATTTCCTTGTCAATCAGTGACGAGAATGTAGTGTTAGATCAAAATGACAACTTCTACCTAATGGGTTTCTTGTCGTCACAATTTGACTTTGGAGCAATTTCTCAACCGAAGGAAGATTTAATTATTCAAAACGAAGATTCTCAATGTTATTACATTCCAACCATTGTTTCTACGCATCGACGACCATCAAAGAAAATTTACTCAAGAAACATCAACAATATCATCTCTATCACACGCGTTGGCCATCTACCGAGAACCATTGCTTCTAACCCTGGTCCTGAAATGGGTTTCTTATTGTCACAATTTGACTTCGGAGCAATTTCTCAACCGAAGGAAGATTTAATTATTCAAAACGAAGATTCTCAATGTTATTACATTCCAACCATTGTTTCTACGCATCGACGACCATCAAAGAAAATTTACTCAAGAAACATCAACAATGTCATCTCTATCACACGCGTTGGCCATCTACCGAGAACCAAATCCACCAGTAATTTTGCTCTCCTCAATGTGCGTTCGATTGTTAAAAAATCAAATCATTTATGCGATTTGGTCATCTCCCACCATTTAGACATCCTGGCCATAACAGAGACTTGGCTTAAAGGAACCGAGGATGACAACCATGTTATTACTGACATCAACAACATTCTTCCGCATTTTAAACTCCACCACATACCAAGAAGGAATCGTAAGGGCGGCGGAGTCGCTTTGTTGATACGAGATGGTTATACCGTACTGCAAAATTCCATCATGAACACAAGCTCATTTGAGTACTTAGATGTGAGCATATCCAACAAAAGTGAGACATTCCGTTTAATTGTTCTCTATCGCCCTCCTCTGTGCAAAAAGAACAACACTGGAAATAGCTTTTTGCAAGAATTCTCATCTTTTCTTGAAGAACTTACATTATTAAGGCAGCCCATTATAATTGCCGGTGATTTTAACTACCATGTTGATGATCTATCAAATCCTGAAGCTGCCTCCTTTCTAAATCTCCTTGAGTCCACTGATCTAATTCAAAATGTATCTGGATCCACTCATCGCCTGGGCCACACATTGGACTTGATATTATCTCGTGAAGAGAATAATGTTATAACGGATGTTCGCATTCTATCAGCCGACAATATTTCAGATCATAATTTGGTTACTTGTAAGGTGAAATGTACAAAACCGAAACCTTCTACACTACATGTTAAACACAGAAACACCAAAAGGCTCGATTTAGCTAGTATGATCAAAGACATCGAAGAATCTAATCTCATTACTAATCCACAGTCTTGTGTAACTGAGCTGACTACACAATATAATACTAATCTCTCGTCTATCTTTGATCAACATGCTCCTGTGAACGAGAGATGGGTCACTCTGCGACCGCATTCTCCTTGGTATACTGATGAACTTCGTAAGGCTAAACAAGACAAACGTCGTCATGAAAGAAGATATATTTCATCTGGTCTTCAAATTCACCAAGAAATATTTATTGATTCCTGCAAACACTACAATGATCTTCTAACAGCGACAAAGACAAACTATTATCGGACTCTGATCAGCTCCTCTGACCAATCACAACTATTCAAGATGGTATCTCGCCTATTCTTATCGAAGAACATTGCTGCACTCCCTAATAATGATTCATTGGATACATTGACCGAAACGTTCAACGATTTTTTTATCAAAAAAATTGAGAAAATAAGATCGGATTTGGACTCCCATACTGCCCAAGCACCCGACATCAACGTCAATTATCCAGTCACCTCGTCGTTCCAAACTTTTCAACCTGTATCTGCTGATATTGTTCACAAACTTATTGTTCAATCTCCAACTAAGTCTTGTCAACTGGATCCCATTCCAACACGAATTCTAAAGTCAATTCCACACTTGACGCCAATTATAACCAAGATTATCAACGCCTCCATGGCTAACGGAGAATTTCCTGATCAGTTAAAACAATCCCTGGTATGTCCATCTTTAAAGAAGCCTTCATTGGACCCGAACTGTCTCTCAAATTACAGACCGATTGCAAATCTATCTTTTCTCTCAAAAACAATCGAAAGGGTGGTCGCAAATCAAATATACAGATTTATGGCCGAGAACCAGTTATTTCCAGCGATGCAGTCAGCATACCGCAAATACTACTCCACTGAAACTGCTTTAATAAAAGTCTCAAATGACATCCTAAGAGCTGTAGATCAAAAAGAAGAAGTAGTACTTGTTTTGCTAGACCTTTCCGCTGCGTTCGACACGATCGACCATAACATATTACTTGAAAGAATGGAGAAACGTTTCGGATTTAGAGGTATCGCACTAAAATGGTTCAAATCATACCTAGAACATCGTGTTCAGTCAGTGAAGATCAAACACTCCATCTCTAAGCCTCGACATATCTCCTACGGCGTACCCCAGGGATCAGTACTTGGTCCACTACTCTTTCTAATGTATACCTCGCCTACAGAAGACATTGTTGCTGAACATGGCCTAAACTGTACGATATATGCCGATGATTCGCAACTTTACATAAAGATAAACTCCTCTGACAGAATGCTAGGCATGGAAAGATTGAAATCATGTGTTAATGCAATCATGGAGTGGGCCAAGAAAAACAGATTGCAGTGCAACCCTTCAAAAACAGAAATCATTCATTTCCTCTCACGCTTCTCAAAAAATCCTCCTTTCTGTAATATCAATATTGGAGATGATATCATTAATTTATCTAATACTGTCCGAGACCTAGGCGTCATGCTTGATTCTGTGAT